TCTTCTTTCTTCTGCAGAGTGATTAATGGTTACAGACCAGTCACTCAGCAGCCCAACACTTAGTCCAGTATGACAGCAGCGCTCCGTGAGGAACCCGGTGGTGGTGGTGGTGGCGGCGGCGGCGATGGCGGCAGCGGCGGCAGCCTCCGAGTTGCAACCAACTCACAGCTGACCCTCCGGCTTTTCAGAGGCTTAAACCACATGACAGGAGATTGCCTGTTTTTTCCTTTGAAATAGGTGGTGGATTCCAGTCATCTGCCTTTGGGTTGAAAGTACACCTCCACTAGGCCACCAGAGCTGCCCTAGGAGATGATCAGTCGAGACTGTTGCAGGATTACTGGCAATCTGCAGTGCTTTATTCATATTCTAGGAGCGGGGTCCCAGGAAGAAGCCCTGCTCACTCAGAAGCCTGCGCTGCCACTCTGGCTCTTGCAATCCACCAGCTGCTCCTCTGCAGTCCCCAGCCCCTCCGAACCCCTGGAGGGTCAGCTGGGAGTCGGTTCAACTCAAGGACAGCGAGCCTTGGCTGTTAAAGTGATATGTGCAGTAACAAAAGTCATAAGGATTTGATTTCCAGAATTTGTCTTTTAAAATATAGCCAATTGTGTAACACCGTTCTGGTTGGCTTAACATTAATGTTAATGTGCCATGTTTTTAATCAAATCAGAATTAAACATTCAGACACATAGAGAAGATGGATAAAGCACTGCTGATTGCTAGTTATCCTGCAACAGTCTCTAGGAGGAAGTTCGCTGGATAATTAGTGGCACATAAACAACTCTGGGTACAGTACCCACCTTTACGGAACTTTACATCTATTGGCTGGTGTAAAAGAGAATCATACCAAATACTAAATTCCAGAGTATAAATCAGCGAGTATAATGCCATGTCAAATACATAGTAAAGTGGAAAAGGATCCATGTGGGAGGGGAAATAGGCATGTTGCAAATCAGATTTGCTAAGCTTTGACAGATGTGGGCTGTCTGGAAATGTTCCACAAACGGGTCTCTGCATTGCAAGTGAGGATGGGCTGACGAGAGAAGGGGTGGGTGTGGGGAAGCAAGAGACTCATTTGGGGTCAATCACAACTTGATCCTTTTGACTTGAAGTTTTGTCGAGCCTGCATTGTCAGTTGTAATGGGTAGCAATCATGTTGACCGCCATTTCTGATTTGAGAACTCAGATGTCTCAGTTAGTAGGCCAAGCCGGGATTTCCCTGAGGAGTGGAACATGTGGCGGCTGGAGATAAGGTGGCAGCTAGCTTACGGAGCAGTGTGACAGGCATTTCTCTTAGCCGCTCTCACTTCTGGGTGGTCAGGGAGCTTTGATCACTCGTGATCGAAGAGTGATGCGCTGACAGCTGATTCTGAGGGCTGTTACGGGAGTCTTTCATTTTGGCACAGATTCATAATAGATTGATTTAAATAGCAAGTTTTAAAAGAAAATATTTTATTTTTTTTAAAGAAAATATTTTAAATAAGAAGGGCACGTGAACTTTGTATACAGAGTGATCGCAACCCAGTTGATCACGTTTCTTTTTTCATTTATTGTGATATATTGTGATATATCCAAAATGGGTCAGAGAGTAGGTGCCCAGAATACAGAATTTTACATCCTATAGTTCCTACCCTCAAACATCAGGAATGTAATGAAATGCCAGTAAAGTAGGTGAGGTGAGGCCTGGCACCAAATCCTCTGGCAGGGTCCCTACACCTTAGCTGTCGTGACATTTTCGTCCACATGATTCTTTGTTGTGGAGGTTGTCCTGTGCAGTGTAGAGTATTTAACAGTGTTTTTGGCTTCTAAGCATTAGATCCTAGTAATTTAACCCAGCTTTCCACCCCTACCCCAGTTCTTAAAACTGAAATCCCTCCAGTTATTACTCTGGGGAGCAAAATGACTTCCATTTAAGAACACTAGACTAACTAGAAGGCCCCAGGAAGAAAGTATGCATTCACCTTTGCAGGTAAAGTCCAACCTGGTAGCTTCCTCTTTGCTGAGTTCCATTTCTGTCAGAGAAAAAAGGGAGGTGGTGGTGTAACCGCAAGCTTAAAGACGGAGTGGGGCAGGTTCAAAATGCAGAGGTCAGAGGGCTCCATCAGAGAAACAGCACCCCAACCAGAGAAGACAGCATCTGGTTATTTGAATCATACAAGGAAGTGAGGTTAATAGTTGACTCTATGACTCAGTTACCATTGTGTGAGGCTAAGGAGAGTTGGAAGTCCCCGTGAAAAGGGCAGAGACAAATGACAGTGAAATAATCCACATTTGGGGGCTGCTGTTCTTGCTTTTGTAAAGCGTTGATAAGCATAGATTTAATTATAACTTTGAATGCTTTTCTGACTCCTTAAGAGCAACAAAGCTTTATAAACAGTATAGGCAAATTTTGAATCATTGAATGTTCCCTGCTGTATTCACAAAGGAGTAAAATAGGCTTAACATTGATTCATGTGAAATTTTAAAATTGAAGCATTGTGTGCAATAATTTCTTTTTGCCAGAATAAATCACATTTCATACATAGTACAGGTAGTTGACCTGTTTCTCCCTAGAAGATGGTAATTAGAGTCTAATTTGTTTATGAAGAAACTTTGCCAAAATGAGACGTTTCTTTACTTTTTGAAAGCCCTGTACATCCATTACATTATATGTTGCATCAGAGAAGTCCAACATTAATACGGATTTTAGTATACATGATCCAAAAAGTAGCACTGAAAGAGAATCAACACTGAAAATACAAAAAAGGTACATGAAAATGTCAACAACCTATTTATTGTCTTCTTACTACTCATCTTTTAGGATGGCCTCGTCAAAGCCGACATGGAGAAATTGACATTTTATGCAGTATCTGCACCTGAGAAACTGGATCGCATTGGTTCTTACCTGGCAGAAAGGTTGAGCAGGGATGTTGTTCGCCATCGTTCTGGGTAAGGAGGTTGTCACGGTAAATGCATGGCCGTGGAGATTCGGTTCTGCCCCAAACAACCCTCCATTGGGTTTCGGGGGCTCAAGTGCCCATGAAAGGGCTCTGCCACAGAAGCAGTCCCAGCATTGACTTGTTCTTTCACGCTCGGTTTAAGAACTCTACGTTTATTTGTTTCAAATTCTGTATTTTGGGCTAGTAAACGGACATGGTGCATAATGTGTCAGTCCGCTAACCAGATGATTGGTGCTTTGAATTGACCAGTTCCAAGGAAGAAAGATGGCAGTGTCCTCCTGGAGTGCTTTACAGCCTCAGAAATCAGATGGAATGCTGTATGTTGGGATCCACTAGACAGCACTTAGTTTAGGTTTTTGCATTTGCCTTGGACTGTGATCAAGAAGTGGTATACATGAAAGATCATGATGCCTTTAGCATTTTTAGTGTGACTTGTGAGCCACCAGGAGCAGTTTCTGTTGCCTGCTTGCAGTGGTTCAGTCTTCCCTTACAGGTATTTGATCCATACTTCTGTCTAGAGACTGATCTCTTACTGCTCTTGTGTCTGAATCATCTCATGACTATCCCGCTTCGGGTTTCCTGGGCTGTAAATCACGAAAGGGACGGCCCGCTTTTCATCCTCAGAGCGCTGATTCAAATCACCTGAGAGACACACAGAGCCTTGGGTCAGCAACACAGCTCTACAGACTGTGCCACCAGAGGTCACTGGAGACTCATGTTATCTTTGTTACATGCTGTCCAGTTGAAACCAGCTCCTAGCTGACTTCAGCGGGTTTTCAGAGGTTGTAAATCACACAGAAGGAGAGTGCCCATGTTTTTTTCCACAGAGCATCTGGTGGATTCAAACTGCATGCCTTTGAGTTGGCAGCGCAGCTCCTTATCCACTAGGCCACCAGCGCTTCCTTGGAGAGCTCAAGAGCGTGTAATTCTTACACAGTACCTTTACTTCTACCTAATTATTATCTTACTAATAGGGAGCTCTCCTGGCCTAATAGTAAGAAGTTTGCTGCAATTCCAAAGGCACGTGGTTTGAATCATCTAGCGGTTCTGCCAGAGAAACATGGGCATTCTCCTCTGGTACGATTTACTGTCTCTGAACACCTGCTGAGGGGTCAGCTAGGGGGCGGTTCCAACTCATTGGTTCACAGCAACAACTAATAGATATTTTCTATTTTTTTTTTTTAAATTACAAATATTGACCCTTATTTAAGTCTTAAAATTTAAGTAATGTTAGATGGATCTTGGCAAAAAGCAGAGAGTACCAGAGGAATGTCTATCTGTGCGTCATTGATTATGCAAAGGCTTGTGACTGTGTGGATCACAAGCAGCTGTGGCTGACTCTGAGAAGAATGGGAATCACAGAACATTTGATTGTGCTAATACAAAACCTATACTTGGAGCAAGAGGCAGTAGTCAGAACAGAGCAGGGAGACACAGGATGGTTCAAAATCAAGAAGGGGATCTGCGAGGGATGTATTCTGTCTCCATACCTTTTCAATCTGTATGCAGAACAGATCATCCGAGATGCTGGGCTGTACGAGGAGAAATGTGGCGTCAGGATTGGTGGAAGAGTCATCAACCACCTGCATTATGCAGATGACACAACCCTGATTGCTGAAACTGAGTAGGACCTGAAGCACTTGCTGCAGAAGGTCAAGGACTGCAGCCTTCAATACAGATTGAAGCTGAACATCAAGAAAATAAAGATTCTCACCACTGGTCCAATTGGTAGCATCAATATGGATGGTGAAGAGATTGAGATAGTTAACAGCTTTAGTTTGCTTGGCTCCACAGTCAACACTCTTGTTACCAGCGGCCAGGAAATCAAGAGATGAATTGCATTGGGGAAAGTCAGCTGTGAGGGACCTCTCAAGAATACTGAAGAGCAATGACGTCAGGCTAGAGACTAAGGTGTGCCTGATCCAGGCTATAGTCTTCAAATTATATGCTATCCATTGGAGAGTTGGACAGTGACTAGGGGTGATAGAAAGAGAATTGATGCCTTTGAGCTGTGGTGCTGGAGAAGAGTGTTGAATATACCAGGGTCTGCTAGGAAAACAAACAGGTTTGTCCTGGAGAGAGTGAAGCTGGACTGCTCCTTGGAGTCAAGGATTCTGAAGCTTTGTCTGACATACTTTGGTCATATTGCAAGGAGGGACCAGTCCTTGGAGAGGGACATCATGTTTGGGAGAGTGGAGGGACGGTGCAGGAGAGGAAGACCCTCGATGAGATGGATCGATTCTGTGATTGGGGTGGTGGGAGGGAGTGTGTCGGAGACGGTGAGGTTGGCACAGGATAGAGCAGGGTTTAAGGTTGTTGTACATAATAGGGTCACTATGAGTCGCAAGCGACTCATCAGCACATAACAACAATTTGAATCTCTCAATTATGCTTCAACTTTGTACCCCAAGAAAATCTCATGCTATATAATTTATAATCTGAATTTTTTTTTATCATTTCACATTTCAGTCAGGATTGATAAAGGATGTGAAGGTCTCTATAAAATAATTAAGTCTTTTACCAAAGTGGACCATTAATAAACTTTTATTTTCTTGTTCTGATATAGCTGCCATGAATTGGAATGGACTCAGGCCGTTGATTTAGTTTTGTTGTTGTTTCAAACATATAATTTTAAACAGCATTGTAAATTTAATTTTGAGATAACGCCTGCTAGTAAAGGATGTTTGGAAAAATCGTCTGTAGGCTTTTAAGTTAAACCATATAAATGATTTTGCCATCTAGTCAGGCAAAAAGAGGTTCAGCATTGTAATGTCCCGTGAAGAAACAGAATACTTGTACAGTCTCTGTAGCTCTGTTTTCCTAGTGCATAGACTTTGTCAATAGACTTATTTTAGTTAATGGGCTTGCCATTAGCACCCCATTAGTTATTGAGGCTTTTCCACAAGAAATAGTAGAAATTGACATCCCCAATCTGTCAGTGTGTGTGATACTGTCAATTTAAAGTCTGTATCTAAACTGAAACAAAGTTCCTGTTAACTATTATGGATTTTTCGTACAATTGTGGTTTTACCTATCAGGGTAAATACGAGAGACCTTTTGGCAAGTACAAGTGTTTAGCCACCAAGCATCAGATAAGCAGGTCAGACACATCCTTCACAGAGAACATGTGAAAGCAGTCAACTTCAACAAACATATGTCTTGAAGGAAGTACAATCAGAGTGCTCTTTAGGGGCAAGATTGGTGAAACTTCGTCTGGCTGACTTTGAATACATTATCAGGAGGAATCTTTCGAGACACTGAGAGAGGGTGAGCCAACGAGAGGAAGACTCAACGAGATGGATTGACCCGATGATTACCATAACAGGCTTGAACGAGACAGCACGAGGTTAACAGAGGACAGGGCAGGGTTAGATCTGTTGTTCACAGGATCACTGTGAGTTGTAGTCAGATTCATGGCACAAGTGGTAAGGAGTTGTACTGCCAACCTAAAGGGTTACAGTTCACATCCACTGATTACTTCATGGGAAAATGATGGCAGTCTCCTCCTGTGCGATTAAACTGCTTCTGAAAACCCTCTGGAGGTCAACTAAGAGTTGGTTCTGATTCAGTGGTTTATAACAACAACAGATTGTTCATAGTACTGCTTCTTCTATTCTCTAAGAGGTAAAATAATTTCTCTCTACTTTTCCCCCAATGAGTCTTAACACACAAATAGATTTATTGTTGATGTTGTTGTTGTTGTTAAGTGCTGTCGAGTCGTAGGTGACTCATAGCGACCCTATGAACGAAAGTCCTCAACACTTGCGTGTGTAACTTTCATCCTTTCTCCAGGTTCATAGGGTTTCCGGAGGCAAGCTATTTCTAGAAGTGGATGCCACTCCTGCTTCCATTATTGTTGATAGTTGAAGGAAAATTACCAAATTTAATTTTTAGAACGTAAGTTAGAATCTGATAGAATATAAAGTAAAATTTTTGAAACTTAAGCATATTCTCTTGCTGCCAGTACTGTTTTCCGTAATCAGAATTAATGGTAGGTATAAATAACGGGTTTGGGTCAGATATAAGAGAAATATTTTTCAAGGTTTGGAAAGCAGGAAATGTCCATTTTTAAAAGCTAAAACTTGCACAGCAGGAATCTTAAAGTGCAGTGGAAGAGTTTATTAGAAGATGAAAATGGAGCAGTGCACATACTTGAACACAAGGACTAAGCCTGGCTGCTAACTGAAATGATGCTGTGGCGTGGAGTGGTAGTGCCGGGAGAGACTCGGCAGTCTGCCTTCAGAACACCGGCCTCGACCATCCTGTGGAGCACAGTTCTGCTCAGACACACGTGGTTGCCATTAGTTGAAGTCAACTCAGTGGCGATGGTTTTGAAAGATCATTAGTTCAGTGTGAGAACTGTATTTCCTTTGTTGTTGTTCAGTGTCCTGTAGAGTGAAACCGACTCATGGCTGACCCTCCAGTAGGTTTTCAGAGGCAGTAAATCGCACTGGAGGCGATTGCCCAGCCCTCTTAGACATCACTTGTTGTGTTTGACAATTCTGTGTTTGCCTTTTTGTGTTATTTATAAGTAAATCTCTTTTAATTCTGTTAAGGAAAGCACTTCTGAGAACTGAAAGTACTAGAAAAACCTTGACACTGTTTTCCCCTTCTGCTAGGTACGTTTTGATTGCTATGGAGGCTTTAGACCAACTTCTCATGGCTTGTCATTCTCAAAGCATCAAGCCATTTGTAGAAAGCTTTCTTCATATGGTAGCAAAGCTGCTGGAATCTGGGGAACCAAAGCTTCAAGTTCTTGGAACAAATTCTGTGAGTAAAGCTACACTCTAAACTTTTTTAAAAGAATATTAATTTTAGACTCACTAAAAATTTAAGTAGCATGTTTAAGATTATACTTTTAGAATGTCCTTATATTGTTCAAGAAGTTTATAAAGCTAATGTTCAGAAACAGTCTTTTAATAGTTTATTTATATATTAGAAAATTGGGAACATATTTTGCATTGAGAATTTCTGGATATTGCTTGTTAACTAAAAAGTTAACATGTGTAGCTGCCAGCTGTGAAGTTGGGGATCTGAAGCCCACTCAAGGTGCCGTAGAACCAAAACTTAGCAATCTACTTCCCAAAAAATCATCCACTGGAAACCCTGGGGAGCAAGTTCTACTACCCTGGGGACATAGAACTGAGCAGCTGGTGGCTGTATTGTTGTATACAGAGCTTTGTGCAGTTTTTCAAGCACTTTTTTTGAGCATCTTCTTACATCATTCAAACTTTGAGTAGTTAATACTTTTAGAATTTATTCATGTGATTAGTGTGTGTGTGGTACCATCAAGTCACAGCTGACCCACAGCTGACCTTCCAGGGGGTTTTCAGAGGCAGTAGACTGCACAGGAGGAGATTGCCCGTCTGTCTTCTGCAGAACATCTGATGCATTCTTTAACACTAAACTTTATTTCAAAACCCTGGCCTGGAATGTATATCAAAATCTTGGAAACTGTTATTTGGAACAGTAACTTAGCTTCTGGATTCCTGTCTGTAAGAGATCATGGAGTATTCTTACCAGGCTGTTGGAATCATGAGGTGACAACTCGTGCTGAGTACAGTTTATGGTGCAGATTAAGTAATGGCTGTTAGTTTAATCTAAACTTGTAGAAGTATGTGTAGCTGTTTTCTAGATAATTAAGAATCATTTAACATTATAATTTAAAGCTAATAGCTTATTTCTAGTTCAGGTCAAGATATCTTTTGGTACTTGAACAGACCCATCACAGAAGAAGAATAGGTCATAAAAAGACTTCCCATAAGAAAAGTCCTCTACCAGACGGCTTCACAGATGAATTATACCAAACATTCACAGAAGATCTATCATCAGTTTTATTTAAAGTATTTTAAAAAATAGGAAAAGAAGAAACAGTCCCAGAATCATTCTGTGAAGCAAGCATAACCCTAGTACCAAAACCAGGCAAAGATATTACCAAGAAATAAACTTTTACAAACCAGTATCTCATGAATATAGAGGATATCTTTTTTTTTTCTTTTTTTCCTCTGTCCACTTAAAAGAGGATATCTTTTGATGTCACAGTTTGATTTTTTTTTTTTTAAGAACTTTGTAAGTAAACCAATATAAAATGAAAATTTTACTTAAAAAAACAAAACAAAAACGTTAAACCCAAGAAGTCCTGGGCTTGCAAATCCTTTGAGAAGTGAGTTAGTCTTTCATGTTTATGTTCTTTAGAAAGCAGAGACTATAGTTTTTCATTCTCTTCCTCTGAGATTCGATGTTGGAGAAAGCATCTTACTCCACTGCAGGCCGACTCTCATTATTATGGGCCCTATAGACTCATAAGGATCTTTTCTCTAGGAATGTTGAGATCTTTGAAAAGAGAGGAGAGAGATGAAAAGAAAACTAAAAAAGAATAAGATAGGTAGGGGAATAAAAAGAACGAAAGGTGAGGAGGGATGGTAGAGAAAGAAACTCAGACCACTGGTAGCCTAATGGTAAGGAGTTGTGCTGCCAACACAAAAGCACAGTTTAGTTTTTAAAAATTTGTTCTTTTTTAATTTTAATTGTTGATGACACAACCTTGCTTGCGGAAACTAAAGAGGACCTGAAGCACTTGCTGTGGAAGGTCAGGGACTGCAGCCTTCAGTATGGATTAAGACTCAATATCAAGAAAACAAAGATTCTCACCATTGGGCCAATGGGCAGCGTCATGATGGATGGTGAAGAGATTGAGATTGTTCACAGTTTTCGTTTGCTTGGATCCACAGTCAACACTCTTGACACCGGCAGCCAGGAAATTAAAAGACTGTGATGGGAAAGTCTGCGGTTATAGATCTCTCTAAAGTGCTGAAGTGCAAAGATGTCCATCTAGAGACTAAGGTGTGCCTGATACAGGCCGTGGTCTTTGCAATCACTTGTTATCCTTCAAAGAGCTGGACAGTGACTAGGGAGGATAGAAGGAGAATTGATGCCTTTGAGCTGTGGTCTTGGAAAAGAATATTGAATATACCATGGACTGCTAGGAAGAACAGGTTTGTCCTGGAGTGGGTGAAACCAGGATGCTCCCTGCAGTCAAGGATTCTGAAGTTTCCTCTGACATACTTTGAACATCTTGTAAGGAGGGGCCGGTCCTTGGAGATGCCATGCTTGGGAGGGTGGAGGGACAGCTCAGGAGAGGAAGACCCTCGATGATATGTAGGGTAATAATGGGGGCAGGTGTGTCAGAGATGGTGAAATTGGCACAGGATAGGGCAGAGTTTATGTTGTACATAGGATTGCTATGAGTCACAGGCAACTTGACAAACATAACAACAACAGTTTTAATTGTGTTTCCAGCAGAGTTGCAAGAATTTTTGTAAAATAATTCTTTTGAATATACCTTTTGAAAGCCATCAGTCTTCTGTATCCTGTCAGGTTTTCTGTGTATGTGTGTGCACATATGCGTGTCTGTGTATATATGTTGCTGTTATTTACCATCAAGTCAGAATTGACCCATAACTGACCCCCCAGTGGGTTTTCAGAGGCAGTCATCACACCGGAGGAGGAGATTGCTCATCTTTCTCCCACAGAGCAGCTAGTGGATTTGAACCGCATGCCTGAAGATTGCAGTGCACTTTCTTAACACTAGGCCACCAGAGCTCATGTATATACACACATATATAAATACATAAATTTGCTATAGTATATTAGTAACTTGCAGATTATTTTAGGCTACTTCATAGAATAAATCATCAGGTAAATAAGAATAAGGAAATTATTTTCTGCTGAGAAAAAGGTTATACATTAAGAAATCTTAGGCAACTCTGTAACTCTTTTTTTAAAAAAAATTTTTTTAATAATTTTAATGAACATTTACAGAGAATTTGGATTTCCATTCATTCATTGCTGCACTTCTCTCCCCACCCAGCCCTCTTCCCCCGCCCCCCGATTCGCTCCTCTAACTCTGTAACTCTTGAAAGATATTTAATGTTTCCTAGACACAAGGATAACTCACTTACTTTCTTTTTCAGTCTTTGAAAGGATCTAGAATAACTTTTTCTTTTCTACTGAATTTGCATTGTGTTTCCATCAATTTAGATCTATTTCCCTAGTCCTACTTTTTTTTTTTCTTTTTTATTATTTTTTTGTGCGTGTACTGTCAAATCATATCTGACTGGTACAGGAGGAAATTATCCCTCCTTCTCTGGCAGAGCATCTGGTGGATTCAGACCTTCTACCTCTGGGATTGCAGTGCAGCTTCTTGCCACTAGGCCACCAGAGCTCCCCTCGTCCTACTTTTATTTACATTAATATGATTTAGTCATGTTTTATGTAACAGCTGTCAGGGAAGTGTTCCTTCCCCTGAGTAAGAAATAAGGTTCCCTGGAGGTTGTAACTTAATTGTACTTGCCCTTGAACCATTGTTAGCATGTAGCACTTTAGGTGAGGAACTTCCTTTGGGAGAGTGCATTCACTCCTTCATCCAGAGTTAGATTAAGAAATTAGATTTACCATTTATAAGTCTGTATCCTTGATTTCTTTAAAATTCATTGCTAGAAACTTTTGCCCCTCTGGTAAGTATATCTTTATATTGGTTTATAGGCAAAAGCCATATACATTGTGTTTTGTTTACATACATTGTGTTTTATATAAATATCTTGATTGCTGTTTATTTGGATATTTCTTGTGAAAGGATGCAAATAAATGTGTTTGTTCCATTTTTGTGTAAAGGTATAAAACATTCTCCTTTTATCATTTTTGTTTTTTAGTTTGTCAAATTTGCAAATATTGAAGAAGACACACCTTCCTATCACAGGCGTTATGACTTCTTTGTGTCTCGATTCAGTGCCATGTGTCACTCCTGCCACAGTGATCCAGAAATACGGACAGAGTATGTATTCTTCACCTGATGATTTGTAGTCAGAGTAATTTATCGGTAAATACGTCTATCATGCACTGTCATAACAGTTACCTGCAGAAATGGGTAAATGCTTTGTTCTTAAAATATGACTTTCCATTACTGTAATGACAAATGACCAGAGTAACAAAACAGAAAGCTTGCCCAGTTCACTCAGGGAGAAAATCTTGTCTTTGTGGTGGCCTGGAATCCTCTTTCTTGTTCTTCCTTGCTTTTCTCATTTCCAGGTCCTTACCCCTGGACCTCCCTGCTATTCCTTGAACACTCAGATGTACTCCTCCTGTGACCTCTGGACTCTTACTTTTCTCTCTGCCCAGAGTCCCTAGACAGTCACATGGATTGTCACCTCACTTTGCCCAAGATGCCTTTAAATGCCACCTTTTCAAGAGAGTTTTTGCTTGGTTAGCCTGTATTTAGTACCAGTCTCCTCATCCATCTGTCACAGCCCGCAGTTAGTCCTCCTCTCTTCCCAGAGCTGCTTGCTCCCCAGAGCTCACTGGAAGCTCCTCCAGCATCTGTCTTTATCCACTGTGGCGTAAGGATAGACTGTGTTATGAGGACTACTCTGCCATTAACATTTTGAACAGTGCCTGGCACATGATAAACACTCTTTGAATGAACAGGAATTAAATCATTTTCTTAATTTCTTAATCAGGAATAAATGTGTATTATTGAATCACCGTCCATCTGAGGTTGTTGTGACAAGTGATTTGAATATTTTCTGCAAGTATCCCACTAAAATCCTGGACTCAAGTACTTCTGTGCAATTAGAGGTTGATATCTATGTAGAAATGCTAAACTTTAAAGTCACCATGACCTTGGTAAAGCTAGAAAATAGTTTGTGGTTGATAAAATGAAAAAAGATTAAATCCTAAAGAGTTCTAGTATTACGGACATTGGATGGTTGAATTTTAACATATTTTAAATTAAGGCAATATGTAGAAATAGAAATGAATTTCAGTTGGAGTATTGTTGGTCATGATAGATGGTAAAAAGATTGAGATTGTTCACGGCTTTAGTTTACTTGGCTCCACAGTCAACCTTCTTGGCACCAGCAGACAGAAAATTAAAAGACATTGTGATGGGAAAATCTGCTTTTAGCGAACTCTCCAAAGTACTGAAGAGCAGTGATACCAGTTTGGAAACTAAGGTATGCCTGATACAGGCCATGGTCTTTGCAATCACTTTCTATGCATCAGAAAGTTGGACAATGACTATGGATGATAGAGGGATAATTGATGCTTTTGATCTGTGCTGTTAGAGAATAGTACTGAATATACCATGGACTGCTAAGAGAACGAATATATTCATCCTGGAGATTAAACCAGGCTGCTCCTTGGAGGCAAGGATTCTGAAGCTTTGTCTGACATACAATGGACATGTAAGGAGGGGACCGGTCCTTGGAGAGGGACGTCATGCTTGGGAGAGTGGAACGAGAGCGCAGGAGAGGAAGACCCTCGATGAGATGGATTGATTCAGTGACTGGGGTAATGGGGTAGGAATGTCAAAGACAGTAAGATTGGCATGACATAGAGCAGAGTTTTGGGCTGTTGTACATAGAGTCACTATGAGATGCAGGTGGCTCGACGGCACATAACAACAACATGGTTGGTTTATACAAAAGAAAAGAAGAGTAGACTTTACCTTAATTTGAAGGGAACTGAGAGATGAATAATAGTCTTTTACAGATGTTAGCTACTGGTGAGTTGGAGCCAACTCATAGCTGACCCTCCAGCATCTTTTCAGAGGCAGTAAAAGGAGCAGATTTCCTGTCTTTCTTCTAAGGAGAAGCTGGTTGATTAGAACCCCGTGCCTTTGGGTTGGCAGTGCAACTCCTTGTCCCTAAGCCACTAATGCTTTTTCAGATACAAGACTTAATATCTGTTTAAGATGTTGTTAGTGGTTTTGTTTTTTCCCCCCCTCAGTATATAGCAGCAGTTCTACCAGGTTTCCTCCTGTGTGGTTGACTGCCCCTGAAAACCTGCTGGAAGGTTCCAACTGGATGATACACAGCTACGGTACCACAAAGCAAAAATCTGTAGACTTGCCAAAGTCATTTCTGAGGAAGTCTGGAGCCCTAAAAGTCAAGATTACCATTAATCTAAAATAATTAACTTATGTATCTCCTTACAATCATAAAATCTTTTCTTCTTTCTAAAGAATTTTTTTCCAGTTCTATAAAGTTACTTCCTATTCTCAGAAGATGTTAACAATGAAATAAAGATGTAAAAATAAAGATTAAGAAAGTGCCTATTTCTTTTTAAGATTTTAATATTTTGTGGCTTTTTTTTCTCAGGAAATATATTTAGAATTTAATAGAGCATTAGATTCAAGCTAATGATATCTTAGTCAAAGAATGAATTCATATTGCTTATCTATGAGCGTAAGTGTAAGGACCAGTACTGGAACCAAAAGGTAAAGATAATACATTTTGTTTTCTTTAGAAACGAAAGTTGTCTTGAATATAGGAACTATCTTATTTAATGTAAGCATTAACAAATAAAACACAAGAATTTATAAATTCTCAAATTTTGGTTACAGTGAATTTGACATATAAATCAACTAAGTGAAAAATAGATGTGATCACTATAATATTTATCAAAGGACATATTTAAGCCATTACAGATTTACTAAGAGCCTTCATTTTTAGCTTGTAACACCCCCTAGTGGAATATATTCACTAGGTGGGACCAGATGATCACAGAGAAGCTGGGAGTGCGGCACAGTCTCTGGATCTGCCAAAACACATGGAGATCATGACGGAAATCGAGACGAGGGCCCTCCTGCTGAGGCAACGGAAAGAGAAGAGGGCTTCCTCGAAGCCAGCATTCAGGCCTCCTCAACTAGGAGATGATATCATTTTGATTTTTAAAATTTTTGTTAAAACCATCCTCTTGTTATATTTCTGTTATAACAGTATTAGGTAAGAAAGAGATCATTTCTAGTACCTCTCCACAATATTATATTTTCTATGTTTGTATAATGACTCATGTGAAACCTATACTCAGACCAGGAAGCAGTCCTCAGAGAAGGAAACACTGCATGTTTCAAAATCAGAAAAGGAGTGTGTCAGGAATGCATCCTGTCTCCAAACCTTTTCAATCTGTATGCAGAACAGATCATTCAGGAAGCTGGGCTTTATGAGGAGTTATTTGGCATCAGGATTGAAGGAAGACTCATCAACAGCCTACATTATGTGGATGACACAACCTTGCTAACTGAAACTGAGGAGGACTTGAAGCACTTGCTGCAGAAGGTAAGTATTGTAGTCTTCAATATAGATTGAAGCTCAACATCAAGAAGACAAAGATTCTCACGACTGGGCCAGTTGGCGGCACCATGATGGATGGAGAAGAGATTGAGGTTGTTAGCAGTTACAGCTTGCTCAGCTCCACAGTCAACTTTCTTGGCACCAGCAGTGAGAAAATTAAGAGACAGATTGCACTGAGAAGATCTTCTGTCAGAGACCTCTCCAGAGTACTGAGAAGCAGCAATGTCAGAAAACTGAAGTGCCCCCGATCCAGGCCATGGTCTGCGCAATGCTTGCTATGCATCAGAGAACAGGACGATGACAAAGGATGACAGAAGAATTGATGCCTTTGAATTGTGGTGCTGGAGAAAAGTCTTGAACATATCTGGCACCTCCAAGAAAACTTAATAGGTTTGTCTTAGAGAAGGTGAAACAAGTTTCTCCATGGAAAGCTAGGATTTTGAAGCTCTGTCTCATATACTTTGGGCATGTGGCCAGGAAGGACCAGTCCTTTAAAGAAGGACATCATGCTTGGAAGGGTGGAGGGACAGCATAGGAGAGGAAGACTCTAGATGAGATGGATTGATGGAGTAACTAGGGTGGTGAGAGTAGGTGTGTTGGAGTCCATGAAACCGGCTCACAACAGAGGAGGCTTTCAAGCTGTTGTACGTAGGGTCACTATGAGTCGCAGGCAACTCCACGGCACATAAACAACAACATACAAAGAAAGGGAACTCTGGTGGCTTAGTGAGAAGAAGCTGTGCTGCAGTCTCAAAAGTAAGTTGTTCAATTCCCTCGCTGCTCTGCTGGAGAAAGATGGGCCATCTCCTCCCATGCAGTTAACTTCCTCTGAAAGCCCACTGCAGGATCAGCTATGGGTCAATTCGGACTTGTCAGTACAGAACAAGTAGTAAAATATGTTCTCTTCAACCTGTTTTCTCACTTCACATGTGGTTTTTTTATTATTTTTATGAGGTTTTTGGTATTTTTTTAATGGAGGATTCAGTGAAAATTTACTAGTTTTTTAACATAAAAAATGTTTTAATATTTTTCCATTGTTATACATTTTCTTCCCTCTCTCACCCCTTCCCCATCCTTCTCTGCAATGCACCCCTTGTTCCTGATATATTTCTTTTGGACAGTTCTTACCCTCATCTGATTTAAAGCAGTATTCATTATCTGTCCACTCTTTTCCCATTCTCTCTCCAACCCCCCTCATGTCTGTCCTATTTTATAATAGTGATGTTATGCAATAATTATCATTTTGTGACTGAGATACTTTGCTTAGCTTAATGTCCTCCAGGCTCCCCCGTGTTATGTAATGTTTTAAGAGTTCATTGTTTTTTCCATACCGCATAATATCCATTGTATAAATGTACCCTAGTTTTTCTATTTGTTTGATAGGCCTTCCATTGTTTTTTAAAAAAGTTAGCTTAAAAGTTTCTCAGGTCAAATACAGGGATCTTAGTAATTTTACCTGAAAGTGGTCTGTTTTTGATAAGATATTTGGAATTTTAAAATGGCAGTATTTAAAACTTAGAAAAGCAAATTAATAAATTAATTTTTTTGGGTACTGGTTTTAGTTTTTTCTTACTTAGCCTAAAATAACTTCTATTCCATTTTTATTTTTAACTTTGAAATTTATTATCAGTTCCTTTACTTTACAAGACACTGTCAAATAGAATTCCTAGTTTGGGGTGAAATGATAACAACCAAGGTTTTCTAGAAATGTTTGTCCCACCCACCATGATCCGTCCCCTCCCCCTAAAAGCTGCACCTCCATGTCGGATCCTCAGTCAGGACCTCAGTGCCGGAGGAATCACCACTGTTGTCATTAAGATTCACACGCACCAAGGAGCTGCCCCTTAGGGCTTAAGCCCTTTCCATGAATTTGCCCGTCGAAGTTCCTACAGAGCCCCCTGCTGTACGTAGTGCACTTGTTCTGTGTTCTGATGAGGAAGTTCTGCGAAGGTTAACTGGACTGTGCTGCTCCAGCCTGACTGGAGATACGGCTTGGGTGCTTGCTGGAGAAGTTAGTTATTGGCAGTCCCTGCCTGGGAACAGGAGCATCATCAGTTGAGTGTCCTCATTTGGGCTCCTGTATCACAAGCCATGAGCTGTGTTCTAGACCGTCTTGGGTGGAATGTGGAGAGAGGAAGCACAGAACAGAGGAGCAAGTGCAGCCTTTGAGAAAGTCTTGGCCTGCATCTCTAACAGGCAGTAGCCATGAGTTCGTAAAGCAGACACCTCTTGTTGTAATGCTACCTTTGTTCACTTGGTAGTAGCTGCCCAGAACCCACTCGAGCCCTTTTCTACATTTTAGCAGGCTGTATGGGTAGTTTTGAAATTGCCTGTGTGCATCTTTATGCCACCCATGCAGTGTCACGTCACTGCCACGTCTCCTCCCGCTGTGACTCTTGCGCCCTGACATCATTTCCCCACAGGCTTGTAGAGCACTATTGTCCTCATCTCTGGAACTTCGATTCTTTAAAGCTGTTTACAGTACTTAGAAGACGGTGCGTGCTAAGTCAAACAAAACATCTGATTGGTTAATTTTTCAGGTATTCAAGAAAAAGGAAGTCAATAATTAAACTTGTCTCAAAGCACAGAGAGGGCCAGTGGACTGCCAGGTTAGCTTTGGTGGAGAAGTGGTTGGAACCTGCAGATTTTTATTTTTTTTTAATTCAAAGAAGAATGTGAAACTGCTGGAGAAAGTTAGGGGCTCTGGATTGGGCAAAGGGTGGAACCTCATTCTCTCACCGTGTTAGATGTATGTGAACCAAGTTGCCTGAGCTTTGGTTTTATGGTTCTCACCTGCCGTTCCTTGGTGGGGAACTCTTCGGGCGTGGGGGAAGGGCACCCAGGTCCAGGCACACCTCTCCGTGAGCTGCAGACACTTCTCCGAAAGACCTCGTGAGAACCTCGTTCCTGGTTGTGGGCGTCATCAGCATCACTCCGGGAAAACTGAGCACAAACAATGCTTTAATGAGATGATTTTGACGGAAAATACACAGCCTGTTACTGTAATGTGCTGTCAAATCAGAACCAACTTGGCGGACCCTCCAGAAGGTTTTCAGAGGCTGTAAATTGCAAAGGAGAGTGTCCATCCTTTTCCAGTAGTTTGTGGATTTGAGCTGCCTGCCTTTGGGTTGGCAATAATGCCTTATCCAGTAGGCCACCAGAGTACTTGATACTCATAGAAATGTCTATGTACCTGCGTTTTGTACTCCTTTTAAGTATTAAATATTAATTTGTCAGAAATGGTATTCAAAGTAAGCCTTTTTGGGAATTGCTGTATCTCTGTGTTCCTTTAAGATCTTGGAGATATTAATTCCTTCAGCTTGTTGCATATTATTTTATTATCTTGAGATAATAGTAGTCACTTGTATCCATTCTCTTTGGCAGGCTCACAGCCTTGTTAATCCTTTCTCATGTGACTAAAATTCTTTTCTCTCCCGTAGAATCCGAATTGCTGGAATCAGGGGTATTCAAGGAGTGGTTCGCAAAACAGTTAATGATGAGCTTCGAGCTACCATCTGGGAACCCCAGCATATGGATAAGATTGTTCCATCTCTGCTGTTTAATATGCAAAAGATAGAAGAAGTGGACAGGTATGGAATAAAAGATGTTAGGAGTAAGACCGTGTCACTTTTGTACTTTTGTATACATACAAAAGTGTTATATACACATACAGACGTATGAGTGTGCTTGCTAGGATGAGAAAGTTTGCCCTTATAAATATAAATAGTAAAGTTGTAAAACCAGGTGAGGTGAAAATTATTTATGGAAAAAATGTTAATCCTTGATGACAGTAGGCTTTGTGTTGGAATACATTTTTACTTCATTTGCTGTTTTTTT